AATAGAAATAATTTATTTTATACTTAAAAAGAATTTTTAAAAATTGCTTATATATTTAATTCAGAATATTAAAAATAGGTCATGGTAACCTATATATTTGTTGGAGAAAATAAATGTTGGAACTAAGTTATATTAATTGAACATTGATTGAAGAATAGATTTAAAATCAATAGCTTGCAAGACTAAGCAACTAAAAGACTAAAATTAAAAGTAGTAAACTGACAATTTCTGATTTAAATTTTTTCTGTTTTAGAAAAGACATTTTCTTGTAGAACTGTATAAGAGTTTCAATTAATGTTGGTCATATTTCATGATAGCATTGACCAGTAAAACATAAAATAAACTGCTGGACTGAAATAGCAAAAAAAAAAAAAACATTAAAAAATTTAAAAAAAAACAAAAAAAAAAAACAAAAAAACTCCAAAATCAACAGCCAACAGTGAATTTAGTAAAATTTGCTAATGGAAGATTAAGTAACAGAAAATTCAGTAATTTAGACAAAGTAGGAAAATCCAGTAACTATGAAATGAAAGTCAATTGAAAGTTGATTTTAGGGCCATTCTGGAGTGGGGATTTGGGGGCTAAGATCCCCCTCCCTTATATTTTTAAATAACTGAAAATTGTGGGGTCTAAATAAAACCCTACTACAACAATACTAAGATTGTATTTTCTGGAGGGAGATAGCCCCCCCCCCATTTATATAAGTATTAACTAAAAAATATCATGGGTTTCAGTCTGGATGGAGAGGGTAGGAGGCTAAGATTCCACCTCCGATATTAAATATTTTTTAAATAATTATTTATTTAATTACTATACTCTAAATTGTAACTTAGCTGACAACAATACAGGCATAAAGTTGCAGATGATTACTAGTTGCTAATTTGTCAAAATCAGAAAACGGGAACTTAGAAATCCCAATATGACACTACAAGACCAACATGCCAGGAATCACAACTTAGAGCTTCTCTTGTGCAATGCAACCTCTCAGCATTTATCATCTCAATGTCAAGAAATATCATCAACCTGAAATTCAGCTGTGACACAATCAACAATTACAAGGACATTCCTGTTGGGTCTTGGGTTATATCTTGTTGGGAACTGACAATGTGGGCTTGTATTTGCAGCCATCTTTCTGTTGATTAGGAATAAATGTCTTGTCTTGTGGTGATCCATGTCTACACACATGTGTCAAAAGAGCTGATGTGCATATAATCACTGCAGTAGATGTTCCTGAAGAAACCATCATTTCTTTATCTGCCATTTCCAGTGAACAAAAAGATGATAGCAAATACCAGCTCCACATCTTCAGTATCCAACATGGCAGAATCAAATATCTGACAGGATATTTTGAAGATGACCTTCATAACAATTCTGAGTCAGTGAAATTAAATGTTTTCATAACTGACTTTACCAAATTATAATGTCACTTGACATTCACATTCTGTAGTTTTGGTGAGCAAAACAATTTGTTTTTCAAGGGAAAATTTAACTCTTCAAATGGGTCTTCTTCATTCATCCTCTTTCACTGTGTTTCCTTTGTTCTCTTGGTTGCTTGATACTTGATCACCCCCCCCCAACTGATTCCTCATTAACTCATATAGCCACTTTTCTACCCACAATTCCATGTTCCATTCATTATAATTATGGGTAAGGCAGGTAGCATCCATTACGACACAATTCTTTTACACATTCAACAAATTCAAAGCTATACTATCTGGAGTAAATGTCTTGGGTCCTGATCAAAACCAAAATAACATATTTTAAGAATACCTCAATCAACTGTAGTAGGCATCTGTGGCAGTGTTAATAACTTCTGCTTTAAAACATTCCAGTACAATGGTGATGCCAAACTTTGAACAGCATTCCAATGACTTAGAAAGAAAAAAACCTCATCCTGAAGGCTGAAAAATGTGAATACAATAAGGACTCACTTTTTCATAGAACATAACTTAAAAAAAAAAGAAGAAAATATCATAATTGATTTAAGATAATTTTGAATCTCTCAACTGTAGAGAATGCATCATTCTCCTAGGAATGACTGACTATATCTCCAACAATGCAACCTTCACTCACAACCTATACCAGCTGACAAAGAAAACTCCATGGTCTTGGATACTGATGCTCTCAACAAATTGAAAAATGTTATTGTTTTGTATCTTTCGACACAAAGGAGATACATTCACTTTGTTTATATGGCATTTGATTGATTTTCTTATTAAAACATTCATATTTCATTCCAGATACTGTATCCTTTTTCCTAAACCCTCTCTTCTTCATAGCACTCTTGATATAAAACATCATAACAGCCTTATTCAATTCTTTGCTTCAATTAGTTCTTGACAATTGGGTATTGTGAAGATTTTGTATGTTGTTAATAACCTGGGATATCTTACTTCTCCCCCTACTGAACAAGGAGCCTTCATATAAAATTATTCTCTCGTTCATGTTATTTTGAATATTATTTTCATTTGCACTCCTATTAAGTATAAGGATCAGTGATTTTGTTTCAAGATTTTAATTCTCTCACTATCTCTTCAGGTGAACTCTAGATGAGTTCACCTGAAGAGGCTCAAAGAGGACCATCTCCTCTCAAAAATGAGGTGAGCTATCCAGCATCACCACTGCCGCCACCACCACCTCTTCTTCTTTTTTTGTCTTTTACTTCTTTTGTCTTCTATTTCTTTCTTCTTCTTTCTTTGTATTAGCAGAAAAATGGATTTTATTTCCCAGCAAAACTTATCAAAATAAGAATTTTCCAAATTGTCTTATACATTTACCATCCTGTCAGATTCTCATCCAAATATAAATAATATTGTTATATATTATTTCTTTGGGATTTTCATTCCAATTTTTGTTGTTTTTATCATAAGGCTTAATTGAGACTAGGTATTGTTATGGTGCCCTGAAAATTTAGTAGTGTTGAAAAGATAAGAAAATTTGGTAACTATTGAAATAAAATTGAATAAAAATTGATTTTTTAGAGCCGAAAATCGTGGGGTCCAGATAAAACCCCATTACAACAATACCAGTGCAGTACTTTCTGGAGAGTGTTAGTCCACTCCCACCACATTTAAATAAATATTAACTAGAAAATCATGGGTTCCAGTCCAGATAAAACCCCACTGCAATGATACCAGGGCCATACCTTGTGGATAAGGGGTTTAGGGAGCTAAGCCAACCATGCAATATTTTTAAATAAATATTTTTTTAATAAATATTTATTTACTATACTCTATTTTCAAGCAAATAAAATAAATTTATCTAAGTTAAAGTTAGGTTCTTGTATCTTTTTCAAATTATTATTTTAATAAAAATATAATAAATAGATTAAGTTTTAGTTATTTTCTTAAAGAAGCAAAAACTATATAGCCTCATTTTTTTGTAATTTTTCTTGAAGAACTTTATTCATTCAAAATTTACAACACCAAGTAACAATTAACACAATTATATTACATTTTGTTTAAAGAAAGTTAAAACTAAATGAGAAGTAGCTTCTTTTTGCAAAACAAAAGCAACATGTTCAAACTTTAAACAATAAAGCTGATCTAATGATAATGTTAGTTATTAATTATAAATTTAATTTTTACACTTTTTACAAGAAATTTGAATCCAGATGATTCAAATTTCTTGTAAAAAGTGTTTTTTTTTTTCTTGTAAGTTTCTTTTTAAATAAAGATTTAAGAAAGGAGAAATTACTATTTTGGTGGGGAGCGGGAATATAGAAGCAAGACATCAAAACTTTAGTTTTGAAATTTGAAAATTAATAATTAAAATGTTTAAATTTCAAGTTTTATTTGTCTTTGAAAATCAAAAAATAATAAGTTTTAGTTAATTGAATACACTAAGACTTGTTCTTTTATGACAATTATTTATTTACTGCACAGAAAACCCACAAGTGACTGTAAACAAACATTAAAAAAAAAAAACTTAACAATAAACATGTTTGTTTTTTGTTGTTGTTTTTTTTTTTTTATCCATTTTTAAACAGAAAGTACAGCCCTGGTATTGTTGTAGTGGGGGTTTATCTACCCCCCCCCCCCCACTAATTAATAATACATTTTAAAAAATATTAGGGAAGGAAGTCTAGCTCCCTAAGCCCACCCTTCTGTAAGTATGGCCCTGGTATTGTTGTAGTGAGGTTTTATCTGGACCTACGATTTTAAGTTATTTAAAAATATAGGGGGGCGGAGTGCTTAATCCAAAATCCCCACTCTAGAACAGATCTAAAATCAATTTTCAATCAACTTTAATTTCATAGTTAACAAATTTTCCATTACTGAATTTTCCTAAATTCATTGTTATTGTGATACAATGATTATAATTTTCTTATCTTTTAATAAAAACAAATTTGGTAGTGTGAGAGATATCAGGAGGAACTCCAAATTAAATTTTGTATTTGTACATTTCTCTTAACATTAAATGTGAGATTTTTATTAAGAAAATTAAATACTTTTCATGTTTTTCTTCAGTCAATTTGAACTTAATTTCATTTTTAACAAACGAAAAATTATATCCATTATCATTTTTTGGTTACTATTGTTCTTTTCTTTTATGGCTTATCTTTTATTACAACTTCACTCAAGCCATCAATCTATATCAATGAACAAATAGCAAAAATAAGAAACATTTTCTTTTATTTCTAAATTTGGGTTGTCTTCTCACTGTTTTAGACTGTGTGAAGTTGCAATAAAAAGCAACAAAAGAAAATTATGATGAAATTAAATACTAGTCAAAAATTAATATTATTAACAATATTTAATCTAATTAAATAAATGCTATACATAATTGCTGAAAAAAATTGAAAATCTGACCGTATGGTCAGATTTTCTTTCAATTTTCTTTTAAATCACTTTGTTGGCCTGAGAACTTTTCAGTTCCCCGCATATCTGTTTTTCTTCATAAAACAATTTTAACAACTTATAAAGTGATTAAACTAAACTAAATTGGCTATTTTGAACAATCTTTTTTTTTCAGTCTTGAATAAAATTTATTTATTTTAGAGAAGAGAAAGAACTGAAACTGAAGTTAATCCTTAAAGATGCCCATGTGTGCAGCAGGATAGTGGAAAAGAAAAAGAAACCAGTTTTGATAGGAGGAATTGATATTTCTTTTAGCAAAGAAGACCCAAATAAAGGCTGGATGACTTTGGCTGTTGTTAATATGTCAAATCTTAAAGTAAGTCTGGTTTTAATATTTTTACTCTTCAACATAAACAAATTTGTCTCCTTAAAAAAAAACAGCAATATGACATCCTACATGCTTTTACTGACTTTGGAGGTGATGATTAATCATTACCTCCAAAAGTCAGTACAAAATGTAAGATACAAAACAAGAAGTAGTAATAACTCTAGTATTATGTCTGTCTTCCCAAAAAACATCCAGCACCCCAAAAATTATCAAAAAAAGAGAAAAAAATAACCTACTTGGTGGAATAATGCCTTAGATATTTTCATTCAAAGTACTCCTTTTATATATATATATATATATATATATATATATATATATAAAAGTTGTATATAAGTTCTGTAGACTCCCCAATTGGCATAAAGGCCACAGTTCCACTTGCTGCTGTGGTTTCTATTATAGCAAGTTTCTACAGGAGAGAGATGCTAGCTCCATACCTTTTTGAATTCAGACCAGTTATCAAACAAGTCTGGAGAGCCCAGACTACAATGCTATTAATTTGTAGCTAAAGGAAGATGGATTCATATATCTCCAACTGTATTTGTGTGAAAGTGAATGCAATAGTATCATGGAGTACTAATCCCACTTTCTACATTGATAGCTGCTACACTGTGCATACATCCATTCTTATCCTTAAAAACATCATAAACTTACTTCAGTTTCTCTTCCACCTCTTCAGACCATCTACCCTTATCCCTGGTCTAAAATCTCCATCTTGTTGCTAATTTTAGCTTTGAGAAAATGAGAAGTTACAGCAGGCCAAATATGGATTATAAGCAAACTCTTCAGGGTGATATGTCTCACTAAAAGATAATACACATACATACTGTGAATGTAACTGTTGCAACTTACTCAGTAGCACCAACTGAGTAACTACATGGGAGAATGTCTGTTCAAATTTGTTGTAAAGTTTCTTTAATTAGGTTCTTGAGATATTCAAAATAACTGGATACTATAAAGTTTTTCAGTCACTAACAAGTTAAATTAATTAAAAATTTTTAAAGACTATTTTTAGTCAACTTTTTAATTTATGATTACACTTTAAACCATTTTTATGTAAATTTATAAAATATATCTATGTTTATATAAATTTCATGAAGTTATACAAAATAACATTTAAAAAATTCAGTTTAATTTCCAAAAAGACAATTGTATCTAAATTTAAGGATTCATGTTAACCTTCAGAAAATATTTTATATTTCCAGCACTGACTATTTTGGGATTACTGCTCTAACCAATATTAAGGTTAAGATAAATATACTTTCCCACAGTTATGGTAAAATAAAAACAGTAATCCTAGAAACTAACAAAGTAAAGGAAGAAATATTGTCTTTTATGGTTGTGGGTAAAATTGAGTTTTTATGAAATCTTTTTTTCTTTTCTTTTTTTTTTTTTAATTTAGCAATTTGCATTTTATTTTTAAACTACAAAGCTACACAGTTTATCTGGAATTATTTTCAGTTTCTGATCAGGAAACCTACATGATAATATTGATCTGGAGGGAATTTTGAAAAGTGAAGACAAGGAAAGGTTGACGGGTGCATTCTTTATTTCTTTTTGACACAACTAATCTGTTTATATAATATTTATGTTAAATCATTAATGTCCACCAAAAATGGGTCAGTAGCAATTAATCTAACAATCTAATAAATAAATAAATAGTGTTTATTATTTTTGCTGCCAATTTTCAAAAAAACAAATGTATAAATTCATTTTCATCATATGTTTAGATTTTATTACATTTCTAATCATAGCTTTTTAAAACAAACATTGCTGAGGAGTCAAGGTACTTAAAATAGCTGAGGAGTCAAGGTACTTAAAATAGCTGAGGAGTCAAGGTACTTAAAATAATAGCATTTTCAAGAGGAAAACCATACTTTTGACACTCCACTTTTTTTTTTTTACAGGCACAAAGGTACAAGTTTGCCAAAGAAAATATTGCATATTCTTTACACTCATTCTGCACATTCAATAGTTGCACATTCAATATTTTTTTAAAAATTGCCCCTACCCTCCACAAATTATAACCACACACAAGGTAACTTGGTGTCTTATTTACTTGGAGATCAGTTACACTATATTGTAGGGAAAATTTAATTATTAATTAACAGAGGAAATTTATCCTTCTTTTACACTTGTGCCCACCTTGTCCAATATCCTTCATACTACCACTATGTTACAGGATATTTTTTGTTAGTTGTCTACAGGACCTTGCATTTTCAAGTAAAATGCAGGTTAATTCTGTTTAAAATTTTTTTCTTTTTTTCTCCAGGTTGTTTACAGCAAGTCAAAAGAGATTGAATCTGATGTTGAGTATATTCCCAGTTATTTAGCCTTTCGAGAAGCACCATTAATTATTGGCCTTCTAAAGGGGATGAAAGCAGAGAGGGATAAATTCTATCCTGATGTGAGTCACTTTTTATTCTGTAGTTAATTTAAATACCTTTCTATATGTTTGCTACTTATCTAATCAATGATACATCATGAAAAAAAAGGTAATTAAAGCAAAAATCTTTTACAAAACTTATTTAAATTTATATTCTGCTATAGTCAAGATTCAACTCAAGGGAAACAACTCCTGCCTTTAACTACACACAGTTATACAACCGTATACAATACCGTTATACAACCGTTAATCTCTTTTCATAATAGGAACAGTCAATTCAACTCTTGTTCCCAGCTGCATAAATTTATACATTCTCTTGCTCAACGAAATTGCATAAAAATGATACAAGAAGTGTCTTAGAATGAGAGCAATATAAAATAATGTAAATAACAATCTGTTTTATTGCATAGACACTGGAAAAGTAATACTAGTCATATAATTAGTGTTTCCTGTACTTTGGTTAGAATCCAGAATGTTAAGTTGTTCAAGGGATAAAGGTGGTTCAGTAGGGTATTCTTTGGAGATACTGCTCCTTTTCACTGAAGGTTTCCAGCTATCAGGATACCTAATGTATGCATGTTTGATTTGCCAACAAAAGCTCAATTTCTTTAACAAGGGGGTCAATTTTACTGGATAAGAGAAAACAGTGTAAAAGAACTGGGGCTAGGATTCATTATCCCTTTAGGAGTGAGTGATATGCCCTGAAAAGAAGTCATTGGAAATCTAAATCATCTTTCATGAGGAGTTTTGTTAGTGGCTGTTAAGTCAGGATCTAATAGTATGAAATGCTTCAAATCGTAAGGGATTTCTGCTCATTTCTGGAACATCTTGTGTCATATATTTATTATATTTATATCTTATATTTATTATGGTGGTTGTGTCATGATCTCATAGTATGAAAGGCTTCAAGTAGTAAAGGATTTACAATCATTTTCTGAAACATGCTGTGTCTTAGCATCTAAACAAAGAGGTTTCCAAGTCATCCCATTGTATTGCTCAACCTGATCATTTTCACTGAGATAGTATGGTGTTAACTTACTAGATAGATGCAACTTCATAATTAATGAGATGTGTCAACACTACACAAGACATGAAAGTTACTTTTTAGTCTAAGGGAATGAAGCTGGACATATCACACAAGGAAAGAATTTTATCCAGACATCTTTCAACAATTGCAGAAGACATAACCAGAGTAAAAGATGGCAGAAGTAAATATGGAATATACTGAATGAGTTAGTAATGGAAGTTCCACTAGTGGTTTCAACATTTCTGTGTCTGGTTTCACTTGTACATCTCAAAGATTGTAGCCTAAGAGACTAAAAAATATGGATGATATGAATTTTATTTTATTGAATGTTAGTTTTATTTCTGCAACAGCCAGAAATTTTTCAACATTGACATCATGTTCCTCTTGTTTTGTGTTGTATGATCCAAATAAGGAAACTTATTCTTCACCACAAATTTATCAATGACACTTTGGAAAACAAAAATACCATTGGTAACACCAAAGTGCACACATGTAAATTTGTTTTCCTTCCAGCTTTGAAGGCTGTATGCGGCTTATTGGAAGCACTGATCCTGATCTAATGGTAGGTACTCTTGAGGTCAAAAGTTGGAAATATTAATATCAAGGCTGTTATCATTTCAATGTTAGGCAAAAGGATATGGGTTGATTTAAGCGTTCATTATAGATGAGTAGTCTATAAACCTCCATTTGTCATGGACCTTTTGAGTCATCTTTTATGATAAATATTTGTATACATGATGGAGATGTACCTTGCTCTATAATGCCTTCAAAGAGTAATCTTTTAATTTATTAAATTCTAGTATACAAGACTAAATTTTGTAGAAATAAGTTCAATGTTTCTACACATTTGCAAATAGTAAAACTTCAATTACATCTGTTGTTAATCTGCATACAGAATTATCATTAGTATAAGTTATTCTCATCCTTATGCTATAGTAACCAAAGATAAATTAATTTTTGTTCATTAGACATTTCATTTTCTTCTATGCTTGAATCATTAACTTTCACGAACAATCTCTTATTAACAGATCAACACACTTAAGTATTAAGAAACAGGAAAATATTAGAAAAAAAAGAATAGCGCTGACCTGCAATGTAATATCAATCTTCTTGTATGCCAATGAATGCTGGGCAATCTCCTCATAGATGAAGAGAAGACTAGAGACAACAGGAAGCTTAAGGATACCATATATTGTAGAACAGTATACCTATAGTATGTCTAATGGGGGTGATACACCTAGAATACTTAAACCCTAGAATAAAGAACTTCCTACAAAATAAATTTGTTTTATTCAACATTTTTTGCCCAATTAGCTAGTAGACAATGCATGGAAACTTAAAATTAATTTGTTTAATATATTTTATTTAAAAAAAAACTTTAACAAATCTGTGTGGTAGACCAAAGAGTACCTGTTCTAAGGTAAATTAAAATATTACTTTTCTCTCTTTTTTTCTTTTTTTTTTTCCCTCCCCACAAGCCAGAATCATATTTTTTTCTGATAACATTTTTCCCTACAACCATGAACAGATGTGAGTATTGTAACTTTGTACTTACATAAGAGAAAACACTTAAGCTAAATATTTTTTTTATATATGAGATTAAACCACAAAAGTGTGTTGATCTGTTAATAAGAGATTGTTCGTGAAAGTTAATGATTCAAGCATAGAAGAAAATGAAATGTCTAATGAACAAAAATTAATTTATCTAAAATAACATTTTGTATATGAAAAATACATTGAGAAGAAAAAATAGCTTTTAAATATGAAACTATAAAATATATGCTATTCTATGATACCAAAGCTTTATCATTTTTATAATTTAAGATATCTTTTATCTTGATTTATTTTTTAGGTACTTATGGTTGATGGCAATGGAATTCTACATCCAAGAGGTAGGAGAAAATTTCTTCAAAATTTCAATGTTAACAGATTCAGGTAGAAGAGTAAAAAATTTGAACAGGTTAGTAATATACGTTATAGCTGATTGATACACAAGTTTTCAGACATTTACATTTTTGCTATAAATTTGCAATTGAAAGCAGTTCACCTCATTTATGATGACTAATTGAGATTGATAAATGTGACAATTTGGAATACAATAATAGTTTTTACAAATAAAAATTCATCCTACCTATAAGTTCTCTATTAAGTGTTTTTGCCTGTCCCTTTTTAGAATTTCATTTCAAAACCTAATAAAAACAAAGTTTTATCATCAAAATCTTTGTTATTATTAAGAAAAAAATCAAAGGATTTTATTATTATTATTATTAAGTTATATTTTTTAATTCTTTTTAGAACTTCCAAATTTTGGTAAAATATTTTCTTTTTTTGTGTGTCAACTTGAGACCATAAATTAGTATAGGAAATTTGAACGTCTTTTTGTGGTATTTGGAAATCCTTGCAACAAACAGATAATTTTTGGATTTTAATTAAGCCTTTGAACTTATTCACAAATGAATAAAATAATTTAAGAAACATTTTTTTTTTAATCTTTTTTTTTTTTTTTTTTTTTTTTTTTTTTAACCATCTGTTACACCCTCTGCAGACTTATTTAATTTTACAAAATGTCAAGAAATTTATTTTTGTAGTACTTAATGTTTATATTAGTTATAAGAACAAGTCCTTGGAGAATTTAAATCATCAAATATTTTTTGTCAAACAGGACACCCACTTATGGAAAATCTACTCTGAATCGTTAAATAAAACATGAAATAAAACTAAGCCATTACTTAATTAGAAATACTTTTAATTGTTTTTATGAATAAGATATATTATGGACATTATTGTCTTAAGAAAAAAAAATTTTTGATGAATAAAGAAATTTTACATTTTTTTTTTTTTATTTTTTAATTATAATAATTTAATAAATTTTAAATCTTTAAAATTCTTTATAAATTTGTATTGTAGCAGTTACATGATATTGTTAGTAAAATATAACCTATCTCTACTAATCATAAATGGAAAAGTTTATTCCCATCAGCAACACATAGTATTTTAAAAAGAATTCTGAATCATTTTTTTTTTTGTGTGTGTGTATGGGTATATGGACATCCATACATAACATTATCAGAAAATAAGTGCAGTAACTATAGTAAAGTTAAAATTTATTGGTAATTTTCTAACATTTCCTCAACAAGCATCTTCACAAGAAGGTAGTACCTAAAATTCAATAAAATATTATATTAATTAGAATAATTTCCTAAATTTTTCAGCTTACTGGGTAGTTCAAAAATTATAAAAAGTTGCTCACATATTTATTTTTTTTACAATTATGTACCCATTACTTAGATTTGCCAAACATTAAGCTAACAATAAATCTGTCAAGACCTCATAAAACACCCATCTTCATATTAAAAAATGCTTTTCTGCATATATTTTAAAATAAAAGTAATATTTGTTGCAATTCAGTTTAATTAAACTTTAAATCAGATAATATTCCTTAAATAAAATTTCAGAAAAGTATATTTTTTTAAATTTTTAATAAAGAGAATTATGTTTTATCAACATATTTGTCAGTTTTAGTGATTTTTAAAAATAAAAATCATTCCAATCAATTGAAATTTGGTTTGAAATACAGCAGCATATTTTGCTTATTAGGAATATTAAATTTAATCTATTAGCTTGGAACTAAAATTAAAAGATTCAAGAAAGATTTTACATTTTTAAAATGCATTTTAAACCTTAGGTATTGTTTTTGTTTTTGTTTTTTGGAGGTACCTCTTTGCTATATTAGATGACACCTTATTAATATATATCCACACATTTCTAAAAATAAGAAAAAAATTCTATAAATAAGTAAAATCAAACTAACAATTAAATTCACAAACAATAACACCTAATCTTTTCTAAATATTCTGTTCATTTGAACTGACACCAGATTAAAATTAAATGTTTATCATAAGCCAACAAATAAAAATAATCTCAATTTTTGTTCACATGGCATTAAAATTTACATATGGAATAATCATAGATGGAAATAACTTTAATATAATAATTGTGATAGAATTTTATAGGTACAAAAATTCCTTGATTATCTTCTGTGGTTATAACAGACATCACTCTAAATAAATTTATTAATAATTTGGGCTAAGTATTTAATCAAGAGACTTTAGATAGATTTCAGTTTGTTAAAGAGCATCCAATGTTTGAAATTAATTTTAGGTATTAGGCCATTTGGAATTAAATTTGACATTTTGGAAGATAGGATAAAAGCTTGTTTGAGAACATAACTATCCTTATTAACATTTGTTGCAATATGATAAGAATGGAGCACTATGATACAGTTTTATGTATATATTTAATGTTTTATGGTATTTTTGCAATATGTTATATATAGGCTACTCCAAACATGTTAACAGGTGATCAACCCAACTGCACTTAGGATGTGCACATGTGGGACAAACCAAATAATAGGTAGATATATAAATTCCCATCAGGGATTGGTAAACAAGAGTCTTTTACATCCTCAAAGGAAGAAAAATCCACATTTGAAGAAAACTCACCAATATCAATTGATGACGTCCAGAGTCCGATAAACAATAATTTTTATATATAAGAGCTTTAGTCTCATGTTGGTCTGTACAAAAATAATATTTGTGTTGTCTTGTATTTATTTTGTAGATCTTGGACTTGCCTGTCATGTTGGTATTAAACTGAACATTCCATGTATTGGTGTGGCCAAATCTTTATATACTTGCCATGGTATATCAAAGGACAAAGATTATAAAGATAAGGTTAATGTTTTTATTTTCTAATAAATCATTTACACAAGACGTAAATGATCATGAATTACTAAGTTATACACTCTAAGCATAGACTTGGAATTAATACATCCCACTTGCATGTAATAATCATTCCAAGAGATAACATTAAAAAAAATAAAATTAAGAATTTTAGTATAGGTTTTATCTAAGAATGTTCAACAATGCAAAATATCATTTTTGTTTGTATTGTTGGATACTTGCATAAACTTTGAAACTGTTAACCTTGTTTTATTTATGTTGAAACCAGTATTGTCTATTCATTAAAAGTATTTTATTCTTGATAATATATGCCCAGGGTTGCCAGACTTTTGAAGCCAAGCATTACTAAATTTTGAATTTCACTAATTGTGACTTTTGGCTATGTATGTCCACTTTTTCACTAAAAAAGAGCATACCATGATGAAAAAATATCCCAAACTTGATGAAAACAAAGTTTTATTGTCAAATGTATCTTAAGAGGAAAGACAAAGTATTTTTTGATTATTTTATTAAATTTTTTTAATCCTTTCTAGCATGTTCAAAATTTTGGTTAAAAATCTGGTTTTTCTTGTGTTGGTGGTGGGCTAAAGATTACCATGGGAAATTTAGCATCTTTTTCCCAGTAAAAAACACTTTGTTTTGGAAATTCTTGTAAAAATGAAAAATGTTGAATATTAATGAAGTTCTCAGGACTTATTTACAAATGAATTAAATTATTTTTGAAATATTTTCTTTTAGAAAATCTTGATAAAAATCTGTTTTTTTTCTTTATCTTCTTTTTTTTTTTTAAACATATGTTACCACAACTTAATTAATTTTATGAAATTTTGAGATATTAAAACTTCAGGAATTTTGTATTTATAATAATTAAAAGCAGAACTCTTTGGAGAATTTAAATCATCAATGTGTTTTTATCAATCAGAAACACCATTTGCCGAAAATCTGCTCTGAATTGTAAAATAAATAATGCAATAAAACTATACATTATTTAATTAGAAAAGCTTTTAATTGCTTTTATAAATAAGATATATTAAGGACAGTATTATCATAAGAAAAACAATTTCTTCAATGAATAAATGAATTTCTACAAGAATTGTTTTCATTTTTTAAAATTTTAATTATAAAAATTTATTAAGTTTTAAATCTTTTAAGATTCTGTATTAATTTCACTTAAAAAATGTATTCCTGCATATTTTAAACTTAAGTAAATAATATTTGTTTCAAATCAGATTAATTATACTTTAAATCAGCTAATATTCTTTAAATAAAATTTCAGAAAAATATTGTGTATTTATTTATGATTTTTAAAACTGAGAACTAAATTGTGTTTACAAATGTCCCAAAAATGGACGACTTTGTCAATGTTGCTGGAAAAAAAAATTGATTCCAATCAATAGAATTTCTGTTTGAAATATACCTTAGAATTTTGCTTACTGGAAATAGTAGATTTAGTCCTTTAGATTTCAATGAAAGCTCCAGGAAATAAAAATTAATTTAATTTAAACCTTAAACGTATTGTGATTTTTGTGGGGGTGCCTACTTTTGGGGCTACATTTTAATAAGCTGAGCTAACCTGGACTACTAAGAGGAAAGGAAATTTAAAGTTTTGTAGTTTTGTTTTTGTAATCCACTAGCTATCTATTTATAATAAGTGTTATGCCTAAACTATCTGTCCATACCAAAATATCTATAAAATTGCATTATATAGAGCACACATTTACGAAAACTGATTCCAAAAAAACTACAAATCTCCTCAATGGGGCCACCTGTTTGCCAGGAGTGGTGACCCATGATGCCTGAGGATGGAGTCTTGGTGACTGAGTGATTTCTGATCTGATATAAAATGGCCAGGAGTTTCCACAACATGCCACTTTGGTCTCAAACTGGGATAGACGGGTGGATGGAATAACCCAATTCAATCCAATCAGCTAGTCACATAGTGGCAAGGGCTAGTTGGGATGAAAGAGAATAGCTGTGGTATGGCCGCAAATCCTTACACCATACTTGAGTAGATATGGTGGAGGAATGCAGGTGCTCGTAGCTGCTTTCATCACAACTCTACTGTGTGTGTAGCCCTGGTAGATCAGAGTGAATGGGATTAGTCACCACTGATAGTATCCCTTAGGGGAGCACGGATGGTGAATACAAAAACAAAATTATATTTCTCTTATAAACGGCCCAAGAGACAGTACGAAAACTCTTAAACAGAAAGTGACAATGAAATATCAGGAAAAAAAAAACAATTTCCAATTTTCATAGTCATAGAATCATTAGTGAGTGAAATAACAAAAGTTTTAACATTTTGTATTACAAAAGGTTCTATCAGCCATGATACTCAAAATCTGTAAAAAAAAAAAAAAAATAAATAATACACTTCTAATTCAAGTAAAAACCAAAAAGGACACAGAAAATATACTAAAAATCAAGCAAATAAATGACATGAAATTAAAGGCTTACACCCACCAATTTCTTAATTCATCTCAGGGAGTAATAAAATGCCCAGAACTGTCACTCTACTTACTGGAAGAAATTGTAAATGATGATACCCTAAAAAAACAAGGCATAACAGCCATCAAAAGAGTATAAATAAAAGGAAATGGCATATCAATAAACACATGCATTTTGACATTCAACAAACCTACCCTATTGAAAGAAATAAAAATAGGGTACACAATAGCCAAAGTAGAGCCATACATCCCTAATCCCCAAAGATGTCACAAATATCAGAAATTTAGCCATCTAAAGATTGCTGTACAAGAGTACCAGTCTGTCAAAAATGTGTCATGATCATGAAGAGTCATCCTGTGAAAGGCTCTCCTTTATGTCTAAACTGCAAACAACACCACTCAGCAGATTCTAAAGAGTGTAACATTTGGAAAAAGGAAAAGCAAATAATAAGAATAAAATATACACAAAACATCTCATTCCAAGAAGCTAGAAAACAGGTTGAAACTAACTCACTTCCAGCATCATACGCAAATACTAATAAAATAATAAATCATTAAAATGACATACAAGATAACAATACAATAAGAAGCCATGAATTAAAAAACTAATAGAACTATTTAAATTTTAGTATACCACACATAAACCAAACACCCATAGTCAAAACAAATCCTATCGTTCAACCTCAAATAAAAAAGAATCTATAAGTACAAAACAAATAACACTGAAAACCCCAATCCAAAGTACAAAAATTCTTCAAGAAATAGAATTATCCGAGCATTTACAAGATAATCAAAAGGTTCATAAAAGAAATAACACAACCCCTGAAGAAACAAGAAAAATGGAGATAGATGAAAAAAAAACTCTATCTCACCTCAAATAAGCGAATGGTCATCATTCAAAGATCACCAAAAGAAACTAATCTAAAAAATAAATCAAATAAAACCAAACAGACAAAAAAGAAACAGAAGACCAACAAAGAACAAAACATGACAAAAAAAAGGCACTAATAGACCAGAGAGCATAGAAATTATGGACACTTCACCCCCACTAAATATAAACCAGACAAGCAAAAACTCATAACACCCTAATACATATGTATGATACAAAAAATTATACAGTGGAATTGTCGAGGCCTAAATACAAACATAAATGAACTACTCCTACTCATAATGTATCAACTTTTCACCATCATTTGATTTCAAGAAACATTCCTAAAACCAAATGATAAAATAAAAAAAAATTACTCAATATAACTACATACATGACATTCAACAGAGGGCACCTGAGCGGAGTGGGGTGTCAATCCTAATCAGAAGTAAAATACAAGCAGTTGCTACAAAAACTACCTACATAAAACAATTAACATCTGCTCTATTTAGATCCCACTTTGTAACCCTATAAAAGAAACTGATTTAAATAAACTAATAGAACAACTACTGAAATCATTCATATTATTAGATGACTTTAACAGTCCAAGAACTCAAACAGAAAGGGGAAAAACCTGGAAAATGTAATTGACAACAATTACTTATGTTTGCTAAATGATAAGTTTAATACATATCTACATCCTGTATCCTGTATGTACTTAGCTATTGATCTGTCACTGTGTGACCCTTCTATTTTTATGGATTACATTTGGCAAGTACTTGACAATTCATGTGGAAGTGATCATGACCCAATTATACTGAAGAGTTCAGAATCAATTGAAAACAGATTAGAGAGAATATAAAAAAACTGAGCTGTCAAAAACTAAGACAAAGACAACCAAAAAAATCTATTGAATATTTCTCTGAAACATTAGTAGCAATTGTAAGAAAATGTATTCCAATAAAAATATTCCAATT